TAACCCAAACTATTACACACTTACTGGCTGGCCTCAAACTTAGAGTCCTGCTACCTCAGTTTAATGAGTATTGGGATTACTGAGTCCTGTATAACCATGCCCAATTTTGAAGTTATAAACTTTAAATGTTTAAACTGGAAAGGAAAGTGGTATGTACATACCTTCATTCACAAGGTTTTGGGCTCAAACTGCAACACCAGAAAGAAATAAAAAGGAAGAAAGGTTTAAATCAGTAATGTAAACTTCTGCCTTAAGAAACTATTGAAGGGCCAGCAAAATGACTGGCTGCTAAAACACCTGCTGCCAGGCCTGCCTACCAGATACCTAACTGGCATTCCTTGGCTTTCCTGTACCTAGATTCACCGCACCTCAGGCAGAGCTCTACGAAGCTGTCCTAGAGATCCAGAGAGCGTGTTTAACATTGTGCACCCCTGGGACAAGCTTGGAGAACATCTACAGCATGATGATAACACTGATGGGACAGAGGCTTAAAGATCTGGGGATCCTGAAGAGCAGCAACGAAAGCGCCTTCAAGGTAGTGCCTTCCTCTTCACCCAACCCTTAAGAAAAGCCAACATGCTGCTTGATTTTAATAAAACTAAATAGACTTAGACACTGTCTTTGCAGTTCTTGGTAAGATGGATTTTTGCTTTAACATGAATTAAAACAAAGGGAATTGGTACTTTTGCCAGAAGATGGCAGCACATTCTGATTCATTGCAGGCTATAGCAACAGTGTAGTACTCAGGAAACAGAAGTGAAGTCTGTACAGGCAGAGTGGGAAGGAACACAAACAAGGAGAGAAAGTTAACTCCTAAGCCTTCCTGGGGACTCTGGAGATCCGAGGGGAGGCTATTTATTGGTTCAGTTACATTACTGAGACTTGGAAAAATGCCCAAGGACTATATCTTTAATGGGTTTTGTCTGTATCTAAATGTGATGTTGTCCATGATAATTGCAAAAACCTGAGCCACATAAGCATTTGGCATCTTCCATCTTCCAAGTTTAGACTGCCAGGACTCCTATTAGCAAAAAAAGAAGTTACAAATTCCCTGTGCCAAGCCAGCAAATATTTAACTGATAGAAATATCTAAGCCAGTGAATATACAACCGTGCCTGTTCCACAATTTGATGTGAGATACTTAAGGTTTCCAGTGTAGGTTACCCAAGGGAGATGTGTGAGTTATATCCTTCTTTTTATTATTATTATTTCATTGATGGCAAGGACAAGATCTCATAACCCAGGCTGGTCTTGAACTCCTGACTTTCCTGTCTCCACCCACCAAGAGCTAGGATTCCAAGTGTGTGCTCATAGTTTGTATTTTCCTCTTTTTGTTTGTTTGGTTGGTTAATTGGTTGGTTTTCAAGACAAGCCCTGCCTGTCCTAGAACTTGCTCTGTAAACCAGGCTGGCCTCAAATTCAGAGATCTACCTGCCTCTGCTTCCCATGTACTGGGATTAAAGGTGTGCACCACCACTGTTCTGCATATTTCCCTTGTATGACTTGAAAGGATAGCAACATTGCTGTCCTCCCTTTCCCCAAAAAAGAAGACCCCTCCCCCCCACGCCCATGCCCTTCCCCCCTGCTAGGGATCAAACTGAAGACCTTGCATATGGTAGGCAAATACCACTGAGCTATCCCAAAATGGTTTTGTTTCATCGGTTATTACTGGAATTCTTTAGCCTATGTATAAATTTAACAGTGGATGGAAGGCAGTATAGTAAGTATATGCTAATGGCACAGTTGCATAAAGGAAGTAACAGTTTGTTTGCCATTGACCTGGCTTAGTGAGTAAAGTGTTAATACAAGCATGAGGACCTGAGTGCAGGTCCCCAGCATCCACATAAAAAGGTAAGTGTGGAGGCTGAAGAGATGACTCAGAGGTTGGGAGCATTCGCTGCTCTTCCAAAGGACCCAGGTTTCTAGCACATACATAGAGGCTCAAGAACGTCTGTAACTACAGTGCCAAGGGATCCAATGCCCTCTTCAAGCCTCTGAGGGTACTAGGTGAGTACAAATCTACATATATATGTTCAGGCAAACACTCATACTGGTAAAATTAAGTAAACCTTTAAAAAAAAGGCTGGGCAGTAATGGTGCACATCTTTAATCCTAGCACTCCAAAGCAGAAAGAAGCTGGTGGGTCTAGTGAGTTCTAGGACAGCCAGGACTACACAGAGAAACCCTATCCCTTTTCTTTAAAAAAAAAAAAAAAAAAAAAAAACAAAACACAGCAGCCTGTTCCCATAATCCCAGCACTGGGTAGTGGAGACCAGAGAAACCTCTGGGGACTTACCTAACCTAATCTAACCAGCCAATGAGCTACAAGTTCATCTGGAGAAAAAAAAAGGGGAAAAAGTACAGGGACAGCAAGATAGTTCCGTGTATAAAGTCACATGCCACCAAACCTGATGGCCTGAGTTCATTCCCCAGAACCTACATGGTAGGAGGAGAGAACAGGATGTGCTCTTACCTCCACGCACACATTAGGCATGTACACCCACACAAAAAACACAACAGGTCAATCAAGAAACAAGGTGAAATTCTGTAGAGAAAAACAGCCACTGTTAACTCTAGCTTCAATAGGCATGTTCATGACCCTGTGTACCTGCACACAAGTGTACACACTGGCATCCCACACACCCATGCACACTCCACACCCAAAAAACTGTTGTTTGTTAGTGTTGTTCTGCAGCAAAAGAACAGTTAGGTCTTAAATATTAGTCCAAGGATAGAATAAATAGAAATGGAAGAAACTGGTAGTTATTAACACCACATCTCACTGATTTGTCCATGCCAACTTTCCCTGAAAGAGCTTATTGCCCTAGTAATACTGTGGTAATTATCTTTTCCAGGCTGCTCGGAAATACTGCCCTCATCATGTTGGCCATTACCTTGGAATGGATGTCCATGACACTCCAGACATGCCTCGTTCACTCCCTCTGCAGCCTGGTATGGTGATCACAATTGAACCAGGTGAGGTATGGGTTAACCCCCAAGTATACATTACTTATATTTATTTACAGAATATAAAATATTTAGGTTTGTCATGAGTTTTCTTATTTAAGATCACATGGTTTGTTTAATTTGACTCCTCCAATAAACAATAGATGGCAAATATTTTCTGTAAGTAAGAAATAAATCTTTTTTTAATCCTGCCTTTTCCAGAGCCAATTTGTAATAGTCTCACAGTTAGTAGTAGTGGGTTGCAACATCCCACTACTTACAGTGAACTACCCACCATCAACCCACAGACAGTTACCTGACTCTAGAGTGTGCCTATTGGGAAGAGTAGGAAAGTGAGCCATTGACCACAGTGAAATGCATAGGCTGTTAGGAGAACTGACTGATAAAAATGATACTGCCTACATTGTAAGGTCAAAGTTCAAAATTAGGTGTGTTATGCCTGATTAATGAAGGACTTTTTACATTTTTTATGTTTTTCGAGACAGAGTTTCTCTGTGTAACAGTCCTGCCCGTCCTGGAACTCTGTAGACCAGACTGGTCTTGAACTCACAGAGATCCACCTGACTATGCCTCCCTAGTGCTGGGATTGAAGGCATGCACCACCACCACCCAGCAATGAATGTCTTTTTGTGCTAGCCTATGAAGCAGTCAATCCCATTGTGCTCTGCAGCATTGGATGCTTTTTTGGTTAGTAATGGCTGCTACAGTTGCCAGTGTTTGTATCAGAGAGTATCTGAAGAAGTTTGTAGTTTTGTTTTGTTGGTGGGTTTTTTTTTTTTTTTTTTTTTTTTTTTTTTTGGTAGGTTTTTGGTTTTTGTTTGTTTGTTTTTGTTTTGTTGTTGTTTTTGTTTTTTGGTTGGTTTTTCAAGACAGGGTTTCTCTGTGTAGTAGTTGTGGCTATCCTGGAACTCCCTTTGTAGACTAGGCTGGCCTCAAACTCACAGAAACCCTTGCCTCCCAGGTGCTGGCATTAAAGGTGTGCATCACCACCCCACCCCACCCCACCCCTGGCTTAAATATGTTTAAATACATTTTATCTTTTTTAAAACTTCATTTTTGGGTTCTGTTTTGTTGTTTTGAGACAGGACTTAACTGTTTATTGTAGGCTGGTCTTAAACTCATCTAGTCCAGATACTCTACCTCAGCTTCCTGAGTGTGCCACCACAACTGACTCCATACTATATTTTAACCAAATACCCTTTCATCAGAGGATTTTTAAGCAAGGAAAGATATACATTGATATAATCTGGTTCCTAATGTAAAACAGTTTTCTAAATTAGTGACTTTTTAAATATTTATTTATTATGTATGCAGTATTCTGCTTGCACACCGGAAGAGGGCACCAGATCTTCATTGTAGATGGTTGTGAGCCACCATGAGGTTGCTGGGAATTGAACTCAGGACCTCTGGAAGAGCAGACAGTGCTCTTAACTGCTGAGCCATATCTCAAACCTTTTGGGGGGTTTTGTTTGTTGGTTGGTTGGTTTGTTTGTTTTTAAATATTTAGTGACTTTCTTAAACCACTAGACCATAACAGAATTGTGATTGGTATTATTGTAGTTACATACAGTCTGTAATCTACTACACAAAATGGCTGTAACAGTAGTGATTCTAGCTAATGAGAGCCACCTTGACTGAGCTTTGTGTACACAGTTGTGCTGTGTGCCCTAGTTCATTTAATCCTCACAGCTCTTAGGTAAATGCAGTGAAGATCTGTCAGGGACAGATGAGGGAACTTGCTTCTGATCCACTGGTACTGTCGCCGGTCATAGCCCATCTCTCTGTCCTTTAGGCATTTATATTCCAGAAGATGACAGAGATGCGCCAGAGAAGTTTCGAGGTCTCGGAGTACGGATTGAGGATGATGTAGTGGTGACTCAGGACTCACCTCTTATCCTCTCTGCAGACTGTCCCAGAGAGATGAGTGACATTGAACGTGTCTGCAGCAGGACCTCCTGACTACCACTGTGGCTGTTACCTCTCAGATCCTAGACTGGCATCTGTGCCTATGCATGTAGTCAGTGTCTGTGGAGGGTTAGACACAGGTTCCGTGGGGAGTGCATAGCTCTGTGAGTGGATGTCCCTGTATATGAGGACATTTTCATGTTAAGCAGATGTAAATCTTGAACAATCTGTTACTAGGACTTTAGCAACATTAATCTGGAAAATTAATGACCCAGAGGGGTTTTTTGTTTTGTTTTGTTTTTCAAGACAGTTACTCTCTGTATTGCTTTGGAGCCTGTCCTGGAACTAGCTCTATAGCCTCTGCCTCCCAAGTGCTGGAATCAAAGGAATGCACCACCAATGCCCCGCTTGACCCAGAAGGTTTAACATGTGGATGTAAAGTACGGTTTTGGTTGTGTGTGCCGTGCATTCCATTTAACCCATTTCAGCAAAACCTTCTCTTTGAGTTCTTCCCTTCCTACACTTTCGCTGAGACCCACTTAATAGCCTAAAATGCTTGTGTGATGCCTGTATCTTCATTCTTAACCAAAGTCTGTGCCAGTATTTACCTTCCATGATCTCTGCCTCCCCAGCCAAGTTCTGCACATCGCCTGGGACCTCTCAGGCTCAGGGAACACAGGTGTCCTACAGTCTCTCCATTCAGCCACAGTAAAGCAGCACCAGCCAGCAAACAAGAGTCTTGGATCTTTCTTGCCACTTGGTTGCTCAGCACCTAGAAAGTGTCTAGGTTCTTCCAAGGAAGAAAATGAAAAATAAGGGAAAGTGTCTATGTGTCCCCACAGATCCCGGGCTTGAGCTTTGTTTTCTTCAGTTTATCGGAGTTTAACTTTTCAAATGTCCACCTTCCTGTCCTTCATAGGTTCTTTTCCTAGACAGAATGCCACTATGTGCCTCGGATCCCTCAGAGGTTGCTTTCCTTTGTGACAGGCTCTTAGCGTAGCTCAGGCAGGCCTCAAACTACTAATCTTCCTGTACCCTGCCCACCTTTAGGGTTTTTGTGGTTTTTTGTTTGGTTGGTTGGTTGGTTTTTCAAGACAGAGTTTCTCTGTGTACCTCTGGCTGTCCTGGAACTCACTCTGTAGACCAGGCTGGCCTCCAGCTCAGAGATCTACCCATCTCTGCCTCTGGAGTGCCAGGATTAAAGGTGTGCACCAAGTAGTTCACTTCTAAGCTAGGGAAGCCATGGCAATGGTAAAAAAAGTCGTACTTCTTTCCCTAAACACATCATCAAGTGCAGTTGTACAACCCAGCCTGCATGGTGAGCAGGGCAGGACTTCACTCATACAAATGCTTTATTCAAAAGCGTATGTGACAGAGGAAAGCCCTAAGAGCTAGTGTGTTGATTTCTTTTAAATCTGAGCATGTGCATAATACAAACAGACTCCATAATAGTTTACACCTATTTCTAGCACTTACAAGACTGAAGCAGGAGGATTGCTATGAGTTCAAGACTAGCCTAGGCTACAGGGTAAGACCCTGTTTCAAAAATGAAAGTAGTAGTGATATAGAGAAAGTAGAAAGTACAGGTCCTGCCTATGTTCCTTCAGATCATAAGTAAAGCATAGTGAACTCCACCAGTCCAAATGGGACCTTAGCCTCTTTTATAACTTTGTACTCAGAAACTCCTGCCAATTAAAGTGGGTTGTGATTTGAGTTGGATCCACTGACTAGCAGACAATAAATGAAAGCATTACTTATTAAACCAGGCAATGGTAGCACACACCTTTAATCCCAGCACTCAGGAGATAGCAGCAAGTGGATCTCTGAGTTTGGGGATAGCCTGGTCTGTATAGCAATGAGTTCCAGGACAGCCAGGGTTACATAGAGAGTTCCAATCTCCAAAGAGAGGGGGGGGGGAGGGGGAAGGGGAGAGAGGAGAGAAGGAGAGAGAGGAGAGAGACTTAAATGGTTGCCCAAACAGCTGGTGTCATAAAGAACACTATCCAAAGAGGTTTTTACAATGTGGCTAGTATTTTTTATTCTTCACTTTTTGAAGTAGCATTTAAGGCCCAAACTGAGTAGATCGTGTAAGTTTTAGACCTTGGTAATTCTTTAAATTGTGTTTTCAAATGCTCCTGGGGTGTTGAAAAAGGTGAGGGTGATGACATCATTAACTCCCAACACTGTGACAGATTGGGTTCTGGGCTTCTTCCTCCTATTGCCACTGAGGAGCTTTGATTGTCAGTATTGTATGGGTCAGGGTTCACCACTGGACTTCAGGCCCATAGGGCATGCACCCACCAGAATCAAAAAACTGTGATCCTGGTCAACATTTCTTAATGCTTTGTATGACTTTTGTGCAATTATAAGTTCTATTCAGACAAAATACTGTTACTCTTTAAGGCCCTATTCAATGACAACAGGTGTGTCATTCCCCATCAAGGAGAATGCATTGTTAATGTCAAATTTGAATATACTATAAAACAATACAGAATTGTATAGCGTATGTATTTATTTTAGCCTCGTGAAAGTTTAAATAAGTTGCGACCATAGGTTCATGCATTTGAACTCCTAGTTGCCAGCTAATGGTACTGTTTAGGAGCCTGTGGAATCTTTAGGAGATGGAAACTTGCTGGAAGAAGTGTGCCCCTGGAGTCAGACTGTAAGCGTTACAGTCTCACCTTAGTTCATGTTCTCTCCTTGCTTCCTGTGTGAAAATAACTTAAAATCAACCAGCAGCTTCCTGCCACTCTGCCATCACCACAACCTGGACTCTTGTCTGGAAATGTAAGCAAAAGTATCCGCCTGCCTCCCAAGTGCTGGGACTAAATGTGTGTGCCAAATAAACTCTAATATAAATTGCTTTCAGTCATCGTATTTCACACCAGAGCAACAGAAAAGTGACTAATACAAGGCAGTATTTGTAGATTTAAATGTAAATTACATTTGATTTACAAAATAAATTCAGTGAGTTCATTGTTTGAAGGGAAGAAAAAGCAATGGACTTGGTCTGGACTAACTCCACAAAACTGACCCATAGGGCTCCAGACAGTCCCTGTCAGAGCCAGCTGTTAACTCCAGCAGTAGGAAAGATGGGGCAGGAGGATTGCTAGTTTGAACTCCAGGCCACTGTGTGCTGCATAATAAGATGCAACCTCTGGGGGAGGGAGGAGAGCCTTGTAAACCCTCATGCCAGGGAAATACGTAGAGCTCTGTGAGTTCAAAGTCAGCCTGGGCAACATGGCATTGTGCCTCAAAAAACAAAACCAAGGGGCTGGAGAGATAGCTCAGGGGTTAAGAGCAATGGCTGCTCTTCCAGAGGTCCCAAGTTCAATCCCCAGAAACCATATGGTATCTCACAACCATCTGTAATGGATCTGGCACCTTCTTCTGGCCTGCATGTACAGGCAGAACACTGTATACATGTATAAATGTATAAATCTTTTTTAAAAATCTGAAATGTAGCCCTGATGGGAGATGTCATTCTTTATATGTTTCTCATACTGGTTAATGAATAAAGCACTGTTGGCCAATAGGAAAGCTAGATAGGTGGGACTAGGAGACGAGGAGGAAATAGGAAGTAGTAAGGAGGAGTCAAGATGGAGTGCCTGGAGAGAACAGAACCACCATTCCTCAGCTTTCGGTAAGACCACGTGGAAATACATAGAAATGGGTTAACAATTAAGACAGAGCTAGCCGATAAGAAACTAGTAACTGGCCAACAACATTATATCAAATACAGAGTCTCAGTGTGTTAATTGGGACAAGACCAGACAGCAGGCGGAAAAACCTTATTCCTTACTACATAGCCCAATGGTAAAGCAATTTGTATAGCACACACAACTACCCAGGCTAAAACATACAACCTATGAAAAACTGTAACAGGCTTTTTCTTTTGGGCCACCAAGCAAATCATGACACAGAGACTTATTATTAGTTATGAATGCCTGCCCTTATGCTCATTTCTTACTAATTCTTACAGCTTAATCTGTACCTCTTCATCCACATTTTACATCAGGGCTTTTTACCTTTCTTTAATTCTCTATGTCCTACTTCCCTGCTTTTTGTGACTTCTGGCCCTGCAAGTGTCCCTCTCTTTCTCCCTTGTTCTCTTCTGTCCTTCTAAATTTCTCTCTCTAAATTTATTCTCTCTGCCCACCAGCCCCAGCTATCTCTCTTCTATTGGTCATTCGGCTTTTTATTAGACCATTCAGGTGCCTTAGGCAGGTAAGATGAAATGGCAATACATCTTTACATAATTAAACAAATGAAGCAGAAACTAATGTAACACATCCTTATATAGTTAAGCATTCTTCAACACCATACCATAATGGGGGAGAAAGAAAAGCATTGTGATAAATTGAAAATATTTAACATTTTAATTTTTAAAATTCATTCATGTGTGTAATGTGATGGAACACATGCCACAGCATGTGTGAGGGTCAGAATACAACTTTGTGTAGGCACTTACCACCATTCATTGCGCGTGGTTCTGGAAATATAACTCAGGCCCTCAGACTTACATAGCAATCAGTTTATTTACACACTGAGGTATGGCTCTGGCCCTGAAAAGCGTTTTTATAATCTTGCAGAACTTTCCTGTTCAGGAGCTGGGGATTATAAATCAGTTGCCACCTAGCTTGGCTCACATGAACTTTATTCAGTTCCTAATGATCATGAAATGGATCAGAATGGTGTAGTGGGGAAGTGGAGGCAAAGTACCAGAAGTTCAAGGTCATCTGTGGCTATATAGCAAGCTTGAGACCAAGCTTATAATCCATGAGAGACCCTTTCTAAAAATCATCGAACCAATGAGTGGCTCAGTGGGTCAACCTGGTGTGTTCATAACATGATTAATGCTTCAGTATGGATAAACTTTGAAAGCATGCTCAGTTAAAGAAATGAGACACAAGACATACACTGTATAATTCCACTCACATCAAATGTTAAAGCAATCCCATAGGGTATAGGAAAATACTATATATAGTGTAGGATATGAGAGTGACAACTAATCTTTATCAGTACAAAATACGGAGTCAAATATTGGGGTGAGCCTGAAAGATCAGAGAACAGGGAGTACTCCAGTTGCTTCTTACCTCTTCAGGTCCTCCATCCAAAAACAGCACTGAGATCCTCTTTTTACCCCACCTTACTACTTCCTGTCTCCTCTCCCTACAGTCTTCCAAACCTGGTAAACTAGTCACTGGCTCTGTCCTCTGACTTCTCAACCTCTATTTGTCAGAACACAATCAAAATCACATTTCCCCCTTTTATCTAAATAAAAAGTGAAAGT